CATAAGGTTTGTCCAGTAAAGAAAATAATGGTTGATGTATATGCTATGCGGAACCCTACAGTTTACACCTTAAAGTTACAATTTAGATCTTGGTTAATTTGCTTTCATAAAATTATAGCTCAGACCTGCTACTTCTGCAGTATTTAAAAGTGTATGTCACACCCAAACGTGAACGCAGTTGAATTATCTAAGAATATTTGGATAAGCTGTCTGGCGTAACATCTCAACAAGCTATAACATTTTATGACACAGCCCCCTGTATCCTTAAACGAGTGATATCTTGAATCCCATCGAAAACATTTGTCGAAGAAAGAATTTAGAATCGGAATGTAACAGGTATCACATTTGAACATATTTTCCGACGGGGCGACAGCCACCTACAGTGGGGCACACGCTGACCGTATTTCAGAGTGGGCCAGGCATATAGCTGAGTTGAACACCGCCTTATTCTGAAAAACAAACCGCTCGTAAAACACCAGATCTGGTAAAGAAACGGTGTGCTGAGGTGGTGAGAAAATGGGGAGTAGCTGATTGGATAATGTATTCACTCATTTCAGTAGCAATAGCAGCAGAAAAGGTAGGGGGCCATTGTTCTCGCTCCACCAAACCATCGCTACCCCCGTCGGAAGCAGACGAACAGCCAGACAGCCAAACACCTGATCCCCGACGAACGTCACGATCGTAGAGATCATAGGACTCGTATAGAGGATTGGGGAGAAACAGGACGAGTACAGGTGGAGTGAACTTACGAAGAAAAGACAACGGCAGCGTATTTGAGAACGGTGCAGCGACATTCAACGACGGAAGTAATCAATATGAAATATATCATTTGAGGTACATATGGATTCAACTGATAGGTAAAAACTGTGCGCGTTGAATGCACACAGATGGACAGATTAGCCTTAGGTTGGCCAACAAATGCATTATTTATGGCCGATCCCTTCTTGAAGGAACTTTTGTCAACCTTCTATTTATGAAATTCAGCTTGAGTTGGAAAATTGGTCGGTGATTAGGTAAATCTGGCTAGGTTTCGTGTATTGGGTTTACCAGTCTTTTCTACCCTGTAGGTATATATAATTGAATCCAATGCTGAATTTTAAAGTAGGTTTTAAGACTTATTTTTTCAAATTACTATACTTGATGGGCGTAGAGGAGTCAAAAAATGCTTGTTAAAAAAAGATGGTAGATTTATGGAAGGACATTATTAGCAGACGCGTCTTCGATTGCTTGGAGCCTCATCTAATGCATCCAGCCAATTTTCGCATCTGTTGAATGCCTGAGACATAAGCATTATAATAAACCGAGAAGGAAATAAAAGAGTACTACATAACTGCGCTGAATTTAGTTGTTACTCTAACATTTTATGCGATTCATTGTAAAACGAAAGAACATTACCGATATTTTGATTTTCGCCTTAATGCCCAAATTTTTTGTCATTATCAAAATGTTATTACTCCTCCCGACATAACGGAGCCTCTTTTAGGTATAGGACTGAAACAGGGAGCAAGGATAATCATGATGACTGATCATAATGGAGAGACAACTTGTTAGATATTTTGAAAATCTTAGATAACGTTGCTGACAACTTATCTGCCTCGAAAGGCAAATCCATTTCACACTGCCACGACCGGAATTTGAACTATGTACATAGTAAACGTGCTAGCTATTCAGCTAGAGAGATGAGATCTAGGCACACGTCTAATCGGCTTCAGCAGGTCTTCTCCTATCAAGCTCTGAATCATTCAGTTACTACCTTCTGCGGAATGAGGTAGCAGGTCCCTTTAGATAGCACCTCTGTCTCCAGCATGTCTTTAGTCTGTTGCTCATTTTCACAGTTTATCTATCATTATCAACAACACAAAAAACTGTCATCAATTATCTTTTTCTCTGCGTCGTTCCACTATTTCCATAGCTATAGCAAGAAGTCTGAGTTTACGGCATGTTCCTCGCAGCCCATTTCTCCTGACGCGTAGCCGACATGACGCTGAACAGGATCGATTTTAGGGTTGCCTAGAACCGAGCGTTCGCGCCAAAGAAATTCACGCCTCTCCTCTATTTGAGGAAGCCAGCGGCAACGACGGCTGCAGCGGCAGATGAGGAAATATGCAAATTTCAACAAGTTGGTTGGCCTTTTTTCAGACTTACCCAGGACCGCTTTCGGCACCTCAGACGAATACGTGACCCCTATCCATGCGCCACCACAAAAGCAAACTTAAATTTTCTTTCTACCATTATGCTACAACAGTAGCAGAATAAAGGTATATCTGTCTATCTTGTTGGAACTTCGTTTCCTATGACTATAGGCCTTCCCTTTAAACTATCTGGGTCTACGCTCGGCGTACTGATACATCAGACCCAACAACAGGCACATCAGTATTATCATTTAGGTACCGGGTTGGATAACGTAAAGTGGTGGCATCTTGTTGGACTTGTTAGTGTTTGCTGTCCATTATTGAGTCATGTGAACGTTACTCCAGTTCAGCTTGTTACGATTATTGTTCAGTTGACAAATCTACAGAAACTATTACGACATCGGTCTGATAATAATATAGGAACTTATTACGCTTAAATTTTTACGATTAAATGCTTTATTGAGTGATTTTTTTAGACTTTCTCTATTGTGACGTTTCATGCACATTTAATACGTACTTGGAACAGCTACGGTACATCAAGTGTAATTCATAAATGTAAATAAAAATTTAAATAATAAATACCTGGACATATCTACTTTCGCATCTGGTCACTTCCCTTTGATGCTAAATCTAGTAACTTTCTCTTATATTTTGTCTTGACAGTTTTTTCTATTCTCATGTTCTTTGTATTGACTAGTCGTGGGGGCCCATGCCCAAGGAGCGTATAAAATATCGATATTAACCCACACGTGTGGGTGGAATCCCTGTCAGTCAGATCTATGTGTTTCCAGAAATAGTATACTATTGAGTGCCTTTCTTTTTTGTAGTAAGATACTGTATGCCCACGAAACCGAGATTGCTTCAGAATTAACTGATGACAGCCGTGAAGGAGAGATAGCGACAAAAGCCGCGGTGGTGGCCAGTTGCCAAAATCTAACGCTTAACGGTGCTTATTAATGTGTGAGGTAAGATATGAAGGGGTATCAATTCAATGATGGCATATGCTTGTAGAGCTAATCAATATCTGCTGGACGAGGTTTTGCTCTGACATAGAAGTGATCATAACGTCCGCTTATTTACTAGCGCTCCGAAATAGGGGCCTGTTTCAACATTGGCAGGGTGGCTGCCGCTAGTAGAATCAACTTTGTTAGCTTTTTCATTATATTGCTCATGTTACTCACCGTCTAACTTTCACATAACATATTTCATTACGAGTTGAACAAAGAACAGGGCTCAGAGAGCGTGTTACGTAAGTATACATAACTGTGGTACGGAAGTTCACGCGAGGGGATGTCGGAGAAATACGCTGTGTTTAACGGCATCGGGAAAGAAATATGTTGTACAGACCGATATACATCTAACTAATGTTTATTAACTAATGTAATGACCAACACTAATGTTTCTATACTGACTTCATTAGAAAAGAAACGCGTAATAAGAGTTCTAGCAGAAAAAAAACACTGCCGTAAGGAGTCACACGGTTTCGTAAATTGAACATAGATGGTCGTAGTTTGAAACTAATATTTACAAGAAAGATATTTTCTCTGAAGTCTTGCTACATGATAACAAACGCGCATTTGCAAAGCTAAGGCACTATTTTTTATTCCTGCCATCCGTTAGCCGCCAGCCGATATGTCCAGACATAAGTTCTGCTAAAGTACTATAACCAATTTATGTATTTCAAAGAACTTGTGCAGAAAATACTTTGAAAAAGTGTCATTTTAAATTGCATTAGCGACACAGAAGTAACGACTCCACTTCCCGACCTCCTGGATTAAAAAAAAAAAACCCCACACACTGTAACAAGAAGATCCAACATGAAGCTGGTTGCGGTTAGAAGCAAACTGAATTATTATTGTTGTGTATAGGCTACTTCTGACCACACGGCATGGAGCCTATAGATTGGTTTATAAATTTATAATTGAAATCATACCTTCATTTCTGTCTTTCAAAATGTACTCTTTTTCGCAATTTATAACAATTAAATAGTGTTGCCTCGATGAACAGACAAACCCCTTCTCGCAATGTTGAAGCCAAATTAATGTCTGTTTTCAAAGCAGTGCTCTTCCTATTACATCAGTGAAATCTCTACAGGTTCTATAAACTATTCCATTGAAAGTTGCCATCTGTTCAACATACTCAATAGCTATTGTCTAAAAGTTGGTAAAGGTTGAAATATAGAGCGTTTTTTAGTCTTAGAAAAGGCCACCTGACAATATATTTAAGAATCATTCGTCGAGTTCTGTTCTTTTTTTTTTTTTCTTTTTCTGATCTACTTCAATTTGCATTCGTTTTTGCAGGAGACGAACTAAAACATTTCTATGGTTCTTTTGATAACGAACGGATTATCGATAACGAAGCAGGTAGCCGATTCATTTATAATTCTATATTTGTATTGTTGTTTAGTGTACCAAAACTACTTGTCCGGCCAGGCCTAATCTAACAACGTTGGCGCTGCTAAATATCTTCAATGAGTGATACATTGTCACCAATTCAAAGTATGAATTTGGATTAGCTGCAGAACCCTGTTTTGGTCCGGATCATACGGTAAATTCATTTCGAGAACGATCGTTCGATTCAAACACTCATTGCTAGAAACGCTGTTTCCTAATACTTGGCTCAAGCTCTTGTCTACTTGGTTAAGGGAATGAATTTCACAAATCCCAAATTACCAACTTTGTAACTACAACTATAGTAGTTCCCCTGACATCTCGTCGTGCTCTGTATTTTTGGTTTTTTTTTACACTGACTATCACTACTTAAAGGAAATTTATCAGATGCTCCACCACCCTGAAATTGTATTTTCCTGTTTTTTTTTTTTTTTTTTTTTATATATATAACAACGTGATCTCTGTATGTATAATCGTTCATTATTTCTGGCTATTTTTCCTTACGTATCCTGCCACAGACTTTTTTTTTGCCTGAATCATGAAATGATAAAGTGACACATTAAAGATAGCTTCATCATCTTCTGTTCACCATTTCTATTAACAACCAATAAATATCTACAAAGAGTTATTTGTTATTGTTATAAAATGAAACTTTGCAGCGTATATGACCACATTAGTTCTGATTACGAACTTGATCGACCTATAGCGCATCTCTTCTATCGATTGTACGTATCTATCTGTAATTGTTCCTGTTTTTGCCGGCAAACAATTAAAATGCTTCTCGATAGGCAGGCAACCATCAGTCAGTACTATTGCGAAGCAGTGACTCATTTCTACCGAAATAGCCACTCGCGTTTCTGTTGTCGTTTATTCTGCGCATCGAATTATTACAGTTCTGCGATAAACACTGGCTTTTCCGTCACTGCGTGCGGTACTATCGCCGCGGTTCTTTTTGCTGCTGTTGGGCAATGAAACCACTTTTTAGTTCTGTCTTCTTCTGTTGTTTACTGCAGCCACCACAGCCCTCGCCGCTCCAGCGTTGTCCGCTTGCCCGCCAGTTTAACTTAGCAACGTCATGCACCGTGTCGCCTGTGTGGACGGTATAAGGTGTTGATGGGCCTTCCCTGTCGATCGCTGACGGCAGCCTGCTAGCGGCAAGAGCGAACAATTTGCAGAGACTGTCAAGCCAACAATGCCATTGCCTAATAGGAGCTGCAGCTGCGCTAACAAATAGCTATACAAACGGACGAACAGGCAGGCAGACAGACAAGCAGTTCCACGTACGCTGAGCTGTCGCAAGAGTACAATTAGTGTCGCTGCTAGGCTCGCACTATCATTGACTTAGCTAAGCTTTCTTCGTTTTTCTTTTTTTTCGGCATATTCATACGCTTCCGTCTCGCTACAGCCAGACCCTGTTCAAGCATTGCTCATGGCGCTTAGACGTTGACACAATCATCATCATCGTCGGGACGGATGGCCGCACCGCAACGATCGAACATCTACGAAACGCATAGCGTCAGTGGAGCGGTGGGCTGTAGCGGTTGACGCTAGTGGCATCTGCTGGAGTGAGTGGGTTTGTTGTTATAGACGTGTTGAGGGGTCGTGTACGAGCGGATGTGTTGAACCATGCGCGTTTAAATGTTTCCGAGTGATATTAGAGTACTATACTAATGTGCTAAGTTGGTATTGTGAGAAATCGTGCGGCTAAAGTAGCAACAGTTCAAAAACGAACGAAGCAACGTTTTCTTGCGTGATCGCCGAGCTCGACGCTAAGGGATAAACACAGGAGAAACAACATTGTCTAAAATAACACTAATCAGCTATAGAAGAGAAGGCTAAATTGGCGGAACAGGTAGCATCTGCAGTAGTAAATGAGTGTCAGTGTCGGCCATGAAAGGGAAATAAAAAATATACGCTGTCTGAGCTCAATGTTCACTGATCGTTTGGAACGTAATGGTGTTTATATATTCAATCAACAGCAGTATATCCATAGAGATTTCGTTTTGGCAACTACCTGACCCAGCCCGATCCAGTTAAGCCCCGGCTGACCGAATAATCCAGCGAATGGATCAACGTCATTGTCATTTTAGTCCTTGACAGATCCACCAGCAGAAGTCGTGGTTTTCGTACTGATTGGGAATCAAACTCGATCTGGTTGTACAAGTCGTGGACAACGAGTAGCCAGACCTAGTGAGTTATCAAGTACGCAGGCAACGACGATGTCCAAGTTTTTGACGTAAAATGAGAAATGAGTAGGAGGAGCTAGCTTTGCTAAGCCATGTTACTCTGGAGTCTCGCGGATCATTATGGTCAATTTATTTAGTCCGGCGACAAAGCTTTCTGGCGAAAAGCCCTATCGGTCTACCCGCCTCAGATGCAGGACCTACTGAACATCTTAAGCGGCAATAACTAAATGAGCAAAGACGCTGTTTAATGGCTGAGAGAACACCGTCGCTCACTTCGCATGTATATTTGTGTCTGCGAGTGCGTATTCGTACATTCATACTGGTACTAGTAAGCGTATGATTGACTCGCTTCGTGTCAATCGAGGTAATAGCAGCGCTCCGTGAGCACACAGAATACAGGAATAGCGACAGCTCCCATTGAGAAAGTCGTAGTCGTGGCGAACCATTTAAGAAATCAGTAACGACAATTGCCATAGCAGTAATGATAGCAAGAAACCAGCTGGACAGATTGGAGAAGCAATGTAACTAAAGAGCGTGCGCGATTACGGCCACCCAACCATTAGTGTCAGTGTTTGTATCGTTACATGACCGGCTGCTTGGTCTTCTCTTTCTCGATGCCTCGCATGACAAATGTGGCAACAGCGTTCGCATGAAACCCATTCAATTGATTGCCCATAGCTGCCTGCCTACCTGCCTGCTTCCAACACGACAGCCTGCCACGACTGGTTGTGCCTATACGAATGCGTTGCTAACGGCTTAAGAGTCTCTGTGTGTATATGTGACTGCTCCCATAGAATGTAGGGGAAAAAAGCCTGCGACGCTTCTCAAGCATGCTACCCATCTATCTGCTCTAGCTGTCGAAGCTGGTCGACTCGCAGCCGAGACTAGGCTTCTCCGCCTTTTTCTAGCGGGCTAGTGACCCGGTACTATATGCAAGCTGGTCAGACCAACTGCTGCAGCAACTTTAACCGGCAACAGGCCTGATTCGAACAGCCCAGGTTTAGGGTTTACAGGTTCAGTTGCTTGCGACTGGCAACAAAGCGCAGCTCGTCGTTTAGCTTTGGAGTACAGCCACCTCCCGCCCGAAACGTCCTATAATACCTTCTTCTTCGAAAAGAGGTGTGCCTGCTTCGCCATCAACCAAGCCGGGACGAGGTAAGCAAAAAGCAAACGGCAAATTCGTCCCACGACGAGCAGACGGCCTTTTTCGGTGGCACCGGTTGTACCTAGCCATTGCCTACTGACCCTACAGAGCGGTCGTGCGCTGGCAAATATCTGAGCAAGAAGAGACCGACATCGGCACTGAAAAAGGGTCCAAGTGCTTCCGTCAAATTTCCTTACGTTTTTCGATCGACGGAATTGATCTCAAGATCTTGAGCGAAATCGTTGTTGGACTCTACTGAAGCAAAGCTTTGTGTGGATACCACTTAGCTGTGGTTATACCGTAACTCGTTTCAACGTGCATACTTCCATGTTGTTTGATATACACTACATTTAACTCGCTGTGGATTTTGTGCATCGTCTTGGATTGATTAAGTCGTGACTGACTTGAATCTCAGCAAAGTAGAGGATTGATCACAATGCAGACTCGTTCCCAAGTTACCACGACCACAACGGTCACTGGAACTACCTCAAACGGGTACCTTAGCCTCAACACTGGCTATCTTCGTACCATAAACGGGTGGCTTAAGGTTGCTCAGATAGTAAGATATCAGTTATTATCATTACATCTATAAGTAAAATCGATTTTAATCATTGCTTTGACACCGCGCATTATATGCAAATGAAAAACCAAAATTGCCTATGCCTACACGGACCGCAGGTCTTAGCCTAACCTTGTAACTGTTGCGATGCTTAGTTTGCCCTCGAAACAATAGATGAATAAGCACATTTGTCTAGATGCCCTTTCAAGCATTATGCATATATCGACTGTGTTGTGTATTATTTCAGATATATGTATGCATTTTTTAAAGCACATATACGCACCCGACCGTGACATACAAAATCCTGCTGCCTTGCTCAATTCTCATTAAGACATTTATGAAGTTTTCGACCATTGCAGCGTGTCATTATGAAGTTTACCGAAAATCCCTGTCGCCGGTTGTATGACTATCACTGGCGTAGTTTCAGCATCGTTTTCTCAATTCGCAGCGGCGCATTCTTTCGCCCCTTGACATTTGACGTGAACCGTGCTCACTGCTACTTGTGTTGCCTAGAACGTAGATGTTTACAGTGGCAAACTATAATATCCAGCGACATATTCGATTTAGCCATTTCTAGTATTCAGAAGGAACCCACACGCTGGTAAAAGAGTGAGTGAAATAAATGAAAACGAAAGGCTAAAGTCGTATACAGGTCCCAGTTAACATTCAACTGACGCATGCGCACAAAAGCAATATTTTGTTCTCCGATCTGTAGCTATCATTGATATGTCAACTCTGAGGTTTCTTCCTACCAGCGTACATTAAACTATGATCTTTATTTCAATGTTTACCACCTCAGCTTGTGCAGTATATATGTATTCAGAGGCGTAGTATCAGCCCTAAACTATCGTCCGATTTAGATAGTTCGAATCTATTTTGTTTGAAACAATCTGAAATGATCCGCTGAGCACAGTGTCCTTGCCAGGACCGTTTTAGTTTGGCCAAAAAATAAATCAATTATTGGCATATTCCTAGTCACTTTCAGAAACTATTTTAATCCTCTTAATTGAACGTGAGAGGCAGTAGCGCGGCAGAGTGTTAAAGCTGCAACCAACTGACCTCAACTCTTGGTAACAAATCGCCGTTGATTTACCCTAACGACTTATGGGCTCATGATGACCCACAGAGTGGAATCGATATGCCTTGCTGGAATAGTTTACTAAGAAACATATAGAAATCGTTAAAGTGCATTTCTACCATGATTCATTTGTAGGCAATATGACCTTTGAAATTCAGGCCTTCCCTAATACACCATTCGAGATCATTTTCATACCTTTAATACTCTCACTTATTGTCTATCTTGAAGTACTAACTAAAGACGCGAGTAAAAGCTGTGGTCCACTCTTCTGAGATGATGTTACCTGTTCTAATCTACAGTAGCTGTGCTTCGTATCTTGGTGTGCCATACTCGTCGTCTACCGAAAAGTCATACTTCTGGCAAATCGAATAGTTTTTTGACCGCCTAGTAGACGCTATGTAAAATTTTAAATTGCGCCATATTCAATTTATTTAATGGTATTTTGAGTGGACAGTTTTACATAACGAAAGTCCTCGTAAAATAATAAAATATTAGAGGTTTTGAGGCGGTTAAAGGACAGGTGTTTACCTGTCTCACTTGAAATGAATTGCTACTTCGCATCTTGGTCCCTCGTCACAGCATGTTATGTTTTTTAGCATTTTTCTTTAAGTTCTCATAATTTTCTGCCAAATGGGAAAAGCGACCTATATATAGAAACATACGGTAGCTTTCCCCATTTGATAAAATCTGTATTGTGAGTATATTTAATTAGTCACGAAGCAAGAACTGATCCGATGGTGTTTGCTCGCGCCGTCGCATTACCTAAACGGCGAGATTGATTACTAAATCAAATTTTCAATTATAGCATTGCTTTTTCAGTTTCATTCAAAGGGGAATGGTCGAACAGCTTCCTGCATTACGATAACTTACTATTTATTAGATAATAGTTTTAATGCAGATATTCGTCACTTCCTGTTAAAGTATTTAATAGTTTTTCATCGTGCATTCTATGTTTTGCTTACATAGATACAGGCATAATCCTATTCAGGGCTTCCATGTAAAGATACGTTATTTTAACAGCGGGCGTTGCTCTGTAAGTCAATACAGAATCGAAACATAGGGAGTCTCGACTAAGTTACCCTACTGTATTTCAAAGCGCTGCAAGCGTCGTTTACTTAAACAGCTAATACGCATCTTTGATAAGAGGTCTCGCAATGGTACTTAGAACCAAATCGTCGAAATTCTATAAAAACTCTTATCTCGCAAAAAAGAATAAACATCCCTGGCTAAAAGCAGCGGAAAAGGTTCACAGGTAGGCGTCATACACATAGGCGTCATGTTCTAATAGAAATTAGTTATGAAAATCACTGGCTCCCCTATCTAAGGTTATCATTGCTTGTAACTGAAACTTCCCCCAACTCTAACTACGGCATAACCTTTTCCTATACAACCCATCTTGTTTGAGATCTGTGCTTAAAATGCCTCATACGATAAATAGTTGCGCAAAATACTCTAGTAAAATTCCAGTCGAGCCGAAATGCTACGTAATAGAATAATTATTGGATCTACTAGACCATATTTTTCCTAGATTGTATATATTAAATTTCTCCAGATCCCTTGTTTATGCGTCTGCGCGGCGGCAACACTCAAGGCTAGCGATATCAGCTGCAACGATAAGCACTTAGAGAAAAGGCCACAGGTGGTTTATGTATCAGGCTTTAGCGTCGATTGTCGTGTCCTTTCGTGATTCGAAAGGAATTAGTATTACCACTATATTGTATTACTCTAAAAAGCGTTAAACTATCATAGGTCTTGCAGGTACTTCCAGTAAAAATACAACTTTTCCGTCTTTCATTCCAAACGACTATTTTAAGCTTCCAACAAACATAAAAATGGTACTTTAAATTTTTTTCATACAGCGAATATCTGTTTTCATCCGGTTAACTCGATAGTGTTTCAAACCAGATACATTCGTGCGCGTGCCATAAGTTAGCACGCACCTAACAACACACCACAGCTGATTCAAATCGCTAAGATGCGTCACTTAACCGTTACGCAAATATCATGAGATCAAAAAGATCCTATTTTCACTTTGATAAGCATCTTTATCATCAATTTCTATCACCTATAGGAAAGTATGTAATATAATGGCTTTTGCGTCTCCGCGCAGAGTTCGGCTTTAGGTTAGCCTGCGCGCGGGTTTTTTAATGACATAATTAGAAAGGATTAGCAGTACAGGGTAATTCTTGATAAGTAAATAGTATAATCCGCTCTACCGCATCTGCCGACAACGCTTAACGGTAGGTAATGCAATGTTCGCTAGTACACAACTAGTTTTATTTTTTGTTCCTGTCCATTTTCCAAATCGGCGGCAAATGTATCATCTTTCGATGCAATTAGTATATATAAGCTGTAAGTAGACAGATTACGCTATAGAGATCATCTTAATCGTATAGAAAAAATCACGAGTTTCCAATACCAGGATATTATTTTGATTTATATATGTACATATACATAAAAATCGTCGTTTGATCTAGTCGTTTTTCAGAACACGAATATACTATGACGGCAAACTTTACTTCCGTTATAAGGTGCTGAAGGTACATTTTTACCGGTACGGTTAGGATTTCATTAGTAAGATGGTCTCACTAAAGTCTTTATAGCAGTATATTGTCTTGCCATCCTCAGCAGTCATCTACTCCATGTACGACTATAAGATATACGAGACAGCTGAAAATAACTATTTTCCCAAGATACGCGCATATTGTTATTTGATCAAAAGCCAAAAGTATTTCGCCGTTCAATATTCATCCATTTATTTCAAAAGTTCGCTACTCATATAGTGTATTCTATATATGCTGGCAATTGTTTCGTTATAGGGCACCGGCCTAATTGTCCTTCTATTGTTAGTGTTCTGGAAGTATACGTGCAGTGTTTCCTGGGGGCATTTTTTACAGCTAACCTCGTTCTGCTTCTTTACGATTACGGCTCTTATGCTCTTCTCGTGTGTGGCATCGTTGTCCGGCATGACACTGCTTACAACTCTCTTCGTAAGTTCGACAATTACACATATGCTATTGGCAAAAAAATATGTTTACTGAGTGACAATACTCGATGAATTAATAATGATGGGTGAATCTCTGGAGTGCTACGACCCCAAATATCAATTGAACATACGAGATATGTAATGCTAATTGACTTTATATCTATGGCATGAAAAAGGAAAGCAAAATCTATATCTGAAAATCTCAATGTGTGCACGTGCGTACCGAGTGCACTTACTTGTTACCCTCGCGATCTAGAGACTTTTCGAAATTACTTTGCGAAAAAAATGGATCATTCTTACCACACACTTGGTAGGACGATATGCCAAGGGCGATAAGGCCTACTCTGTACCTACGAATCGGAATGAGATCACGCAACTAATTTAGCTTGACCGTTTCGCGCGCCTTTAATTTCGATTTACAGTACCTGAACTATCATATTCTCGGCTTCACCTACTATCTGTGTGGAGCACTAGCCGTAGTTATTCAAGCTCCTAGCAATCAGGATGCCGGCCTTGGTATCGCCGCTGGTGTAAGTAAATTTTTAGGAACCGTAAACAATAAGAAAATCCTCTCTTGAATGACCTCAAGTTTACAAACGATTTTATTAAGCTAGGTACAAAATAGAGTTGTATGCCATCGGGGTTTCCTGTTCTTGAAATAGAACGTAGACACGTAGTCTCGTCCATCAAATCTATTTGCTGCTTCTGTTCGTATGCAAGCAAATACAGTCAATTATGATAATTCGATGTAGGAGCTTTCTCTCCGACTCAGATAGCGTAACATTTTTGGGCTATATGATGCAAATCCTTAGAACCCATGTTATTGCCTAAGCTTGGGCGCCAGATCAAAGACGCAGCTTCGCTATACCATTATTCTGTATCAGACGTACCGAATACTGACATGCTGGCAAGTATTACTCTACGGATTCTGTTTTTTATGGCATCTCATTGCAGGTATTGGGTCTTCTGAATGCGTCATTTTATGGAATTGATGCTTTGTTCGCATTTAAGGGACGTCTGAATTAAGCCATCGCCGACTTCTCACTCATACTTCATCTCCTCCTATCGACATCAATTAGACGTAAAGCCCACCGGAATAACGGGTAAACGACGAGGGCCATACTTCGTTCCAGAGCCATACTCAAACACCTTCCGTATTCATCCGCAGAGGAACACCTCCTTGTATACTACCCACCCACGTGATCTAGCAATGTTTGTTTTTGGGGAGGTGATGATTAAAAGAGCTGACGGGTTCGCTGTAGGTCACAAGTGATTTGACTTTCTGAAAAATAAGTCGACTGAGCTTTAAAAAGGTACCGAAAATCTTGATGAAAAAGGTCAAACCTGCACCGTAGTGTTAATGCAGTCCGAATGCAGTGTATGAGTCTATTTTCATATGGATTGAGGCATGGCCACTGTTTCCCTCGTATGTCAAACAAGGGCTTTTGGACAAGTTGTGACCAGCCGATCACATGGCACTGACTATCCATAAGAAAACAAATTGCATTTACCCCGGTCAATCAGGAAATTTTCAATAGTGTTCCGTCGACATCAGGATGGATAATGAACTAATTGTATGGGGAGCAACGGTATATAAATAGAAGATCTATCAAATCATGCTATAATTTAAATAGGTAGTCTGATGTGCGCGTGCTCAATTTTTTTGATTGCAGTAAATTGATATTGGTAACGACAATGATACCGATTAGCTTTGAACTTTCGCTAAAGCTCGGACTACAGAACATTTAAAAAAATTCCGTTTTGTTTGTGATGAAATTTCCGATTCATATTACATAAACTTTTCAAAGGCCTTACATAAAACCCTCCCATGATTGGTACAACTTGTAAAATGGCTTTAGGATTACTGCAGAGGACTATAATGGCTACAACGTATAAGTCACTGCGACTGAATGGGTTGAGCAATTGAATCTATCGGAAGCGTACTCGAGGTACTTTTTTCCTATTGGGATGAAATTCTGCGTTAAATTTTAATTGAGCACCCTATCTGTAAATAGTTGGAATGACCTGAAACGCCTGTATTTCGGTTATGTACTGCACTTCTGGAGTAGAAACAAACAACGAATAAAGACAATAGTATACTTAATATATCCTTAATAACAAGGTACTTACAGTAGAGTTTTTTGAAGGAAATCTATTAATTAAACTGAATTTATCCGTGCGTAGAATATTTAAACTACTCGTTGATATACAAATGCATTCAATAGTCAATGTGCTTCAGGTGCTATTAAAAAAAATTGTACAGGTCGATCAGAAAGGTAACACCTTGTCTCTTTTGTGACGCTTGGAAATGTTTATGCCAGTAAAAAAAGGTTAGCGTACAACCTAAACCTTAATGCACTAAGATGAGTAGGCTGTTATGAGTGCCTTTAGTAAATGAAAGCATTTGCATAATTGAATATATTTAACTTCATTAAAATTGTTTTCGCATTAAACATTTGATTTCTAAAATGGCAGATAGGATCAAATTGTAACTTCGTTGAGGACATGAGGCTAGTTACGCATCATGTAATATTTTTATAACGGACATGCACGTTGAACGATGAAAAGAAAAGTTGAAGTGATGACAAAGCAGACCAGAAAACGCTACTGCCAAATTTTTGAATAAAAATTGAATTTAGTATTATTTTTATGCCGTTGTATGGTATCGATGTTAGAAGTGCCCTTATAAAGGCGCCTTATACCTGTAGCGCCATCTTGACTTGATTTCATGTTTTCACAATACATTGGTGTATAACGTAGCTCCGTATTTCCTGTTTGAAATCTTCAAAAGGCCGTGAAATCTTCGTCCCGTTTTTTGCATTATGGAAGAAAAATCGCCTGGATGAATTAACTCATAGCTGGCGTATTCCATACGACTTTTATAAATATTGAATCTCTTTATTATAAAAGGTGATTTCATATATTTCTAATTTTCTCTAGTCAACTCCTTAGGGCAGTTTTAAAAATCTCTAAAATGAACAAGCCACTAAAAAAATATTCCAGTTCTAAATACACAAATATTACATTTTAACAAGTATTATAAAAACCAGGCCAATAACAGTGATTAAACAACAGGATTCTCAGTGACTTATTTTGCCTGCAGTGATGCTACAAGCCAACAGACCCATATTGAAGTGCTTCATACATTTACAATAGTTTGTGTTTTGGAAGTCTGTCGACAATTCAAATCAGACTTCATTGTTGCTCATCGCCAGTCGTTTCTGTAAACCTGCGTTCAGGCTACTGTGGCTTGATTTTACTGTGGAAGCAGACAATTAATTCAGTTTAAAAGAAGACATCTTAAAAACGAAAATGGGAACGAGTATTGAACAAGGTAAAATAACAAATAAAGTCTATGTAATAAGAAGGCTGCGCTTATACGTACAATAAAGCTTTCGTGTTCCGAAGTCTTTCGATCTGTTCATTTATGCGATACTTACAAACTACTACTCAATGCTCTACCTGTAGATAACTGGGAAAAACACACAAGGACATTGTAGTTTTGCGTTCATGTAAAAAATCGCGTTGAACTTTCAGCAAAAGCATGTGAAGCGTTACATGGTTTATATTGGTCGAGCTCATCGAAGTGAACTGTAGCAAACTGCCCCCTAAAAAATAAATTGTTTTACTTTTGGTGTTGTTGAAGAACATCATGAACACAGTACGACAATGAAACATCCACACCCAGAAAATATGCCTAGCAATAAGATATCAACCTGATATAGAACACATAATGGAAAATTCTTCTATAGGCAGTATGCAATTGATCTAAACTAACTAGTTATATATATATATATATAGCTTGTTAGTACAGCCGACAGGAATGACAAGCTTTTTTAGCAATGTTTACATCTCCATAGAACAAGCCTAGAAATAGTGGGTGCCATATGTAGCTCAACAACAATACGATCAGCAGTTTGAAAAACGTACTTGTCATAAAGTGAAACTAGACTCATGGAACCAGACGCACACCCCCCCAAAACCTCTTTAGAGATGTTTTGGCTTCTACGTATTCTCCGTATTTTAAATTAAGATTGTATCGCAAAAAAAGAACAAGGATAAGCCTCTAATCCCACCCATTGATTTAGCGCAAATAAACCAGATCTCCTCTGCAAAAGTAAACAATTCTGGGTCCGCACGGTTTCGTAACCAGCTATGTTGATCCGGTAAAGCATTGGCACGTCCCTATATTTTGAATATTTGTGGCATTATAGGAAAGCATATAGGATTTATAGTTGATATTATATGTTTAACTAGTCGAGTCCAAAATGATTCAACTCTGCGGTCTAGAGTATCGCAATCACCACCCTGTTGTGATTTACACTAGGGATAAATAATAATGTACTCCAGGTCCGATAGGCATGCACTTCTTTCCAACGCAGCTAGGTATTGTGCAGCCCGTTGCCAAGCATCTGGTAGATTATTGGGTCGGCGCTGGCGTTCGTAAAACAGATTTTATCAACTTCACAAACTGGATCTGCTTTCTTTGTAGTAAGTCAACAGGTATAATGAGTAACTTGTTATTTTTGATTTTTTTTTATCTTGTCAGCTGTGATGAACATTTTCATTCACACACTGAGATCTAACACATAAGAGGCAGTTAAAGAAAGATAATCTGTATTTTTAGCATAACAACAATTTTAGGGAATGAAAAATATTTTGACGAACATTTAAAGAAAGTGTTCTTAACAGAGTGTTGAAAAGATATCAAATATTAAATCGAATAATTCACTGCTGTTATCGCGAAAGATTACCTTTCTTTCTACGGTTTTACGTTTCTAAAGTTTACGGTAAAAAAGTCAAGTTATTCAAAATGTCGTTGAGAACTGAGTCGTTTTATGGCCGCTTCCTATGCAACCCACTCCAAGACCAGAAGATATCTCATATGCCGGACAAATAGCACCAACGCCTAAATTGATTTTATATTGCCGATCGAAATGAAATAAATGTCAAGTATAACGCTCGTCTAATGAATACAAGATTCCATAGTCGCTGCTGAGGGTGAGTGTAATAAACCGCTATCAGAAAACACGGTAAAGGCTTTTTGAGTCAGCTCACTCAAACTTCATTTTGACCCACTCAAATTTTATTTATTTTATCTATCCCCGTGCGTTACGTATGTTAAACTCAAACCAAGTTCAAAGCTAACCGGTCTTTCAGTCTCAACTGCAATTTCACCTATTAATCTAACCATACACGACTAGACTAAACCCTGTGAACTGGCAATATCTCACAACTTTTTGTATATTTGCCTATTCAAAAAATCCAATCATGCTTAAAATAGATGCTTGTATCACTGACTGCATCTACTGTTTCTGTGGCTATCTGGCTGATCAAAACCTTGGCCATTCATGGCAGAGGCTCAATAAAGCAATATGAATATAATTCCTGTAAATTATTTTACATAAAATAAATATTCGAAAATATTGGATGATCTATAAGAAGAAGTAGAAATTAACCTCACCTATAAGTTTTTTGATCCTGATAATATACGTACAGACGCATATAAGCGATTTACTTGTTTAAAACACAGTTTTCTTTCAGTTTGGTCGAAAAACGCTTTACTTGCAGTACTTTGCCGCAGATAAATAATATTTTGAATAAAGCTCTTTCTAAGATTCTCATCCAAGGAATCCTTGATCGTGTGTCTATGTTATTCGTTGCTCTTCCATTGAAACTGCTGTTTTAGATCGTCAGATCACAGTTGTGCTTCAGTCCACAGAATTGAAATTCGCGGGCCACAGACGAGCTTGTGCTCTTCGCCCATCTGTTGACTGTATGCCGCTACGCTGATTAAAGCGCGAACTATGTATGTGTAGAATTTTAGATATTTTTTCCAAGTGCAGAGCTAGTCTATGTGTGTTTCGCCTGCTTGCATTTACGATCATGTGGATACTGTTGAATATGTGAAGTCAATTAGTACATTCAGAGATGTCCGCCAAAATGGAACGTGCACGGTGGGTGCCTGCACGTGGAATAGCATACGATTCAAAATTTCTCGTCGGCTATGAACGTCCCTGACAAACAGATAAGCTCAAAGCGCCTACTCTTACCTGTGTTTATCTTACCACAACTGTGCGGTGCATGAAAACGTTCGCATGACAACTATTAGTAAGATCTTGGTTTATAAAACTTTAAAGGGGGTGTTTTTTTTTGGGGGGGGGGGGTGCTGCTCTGTCGGCCTAATCACATCTTTCAGGCGAATAAATAATAAATACATTTAAGAACTTCTTAAAACGGTTGTGTTTCATATGCAAGTGGTAAAAAGAAAGTGATTAAATATGGGCTAATTTAAGAGTGCCAGAATTCTGCTTAGTAACAGCTAGCCGTTGTACTGAAAAAGCGGAGGATACATATAACACTGATATCGCGATTTTGTACTATACCTGATTGGCTTAATCATCGAGCTGAGAGAAAAAAATAAGCGTGAAATTAGTCAAAGCAGGCGTCCTCAAATTGAGAAACGTGTTTATAAGGATTAGCAAATTTAGGTATAAATGAACGAAGCTGGCGGATGTAGTGTAAAGTATGTACATCTGTGAAAAATATGGCAACATTTTATCAATCTATGCACACCTTTACCATCGCAATATTATATGTTGCCGTAACACCTGGTTTCATATACATATAATTCATTCACCTCAACTATGAGTGGCCTAGACTCAAGAACAGGTTTTAAACCAATATTGCTGCTGTTAAAATTGATTTCAATTCCGTACTCGTATCGCCTGAATAAAGGTATTTCAACATTTAAAGATCATGCGTCCAGTTAAACCTGTTTTTTTTCCAGACAGCCCAATTTAAATGCAATAACTAATGATATAATCAAGGCAAAATATACCAAAAACAAAAAATAACTTGAGTGAGTAAATATACCTGTCCCGTTTATTCCATCATTCGGGTGTGATCTCTATATCCTAATATACAGTGCCGAGTTTTGCTTCATCGGTGCTTCATCGGAACTGCTATCGTTTTATCAAATAGCTGCAACTACAACTGACGCTTGTTTCGCCCGACATCGTTGTTAGGTATTTCACCGGCACGAAACGAACTGTATTCCTAAGCGAATTCCCCTGTCCGGGTTCGAATCTAAGGCGCAACGTGTCCCTAAGGTTAGCAAACAAAATTACTCAATAAAAAATCACGCGGACGTTAGAACTTACCCCCACGAAAACAAAATTATCATTAGACGAGTAGTCGTTAATATAATAACTACCCTATCGCAAGTACTATTATTGTATATTGAGCCAGCGCAATGTTTGCCTACTTTAGATTGACGCCGTCTAATTTACTTGTTGTGGCTGATTCCATGGTTCCTGAAAAACTTCTTTGCCATAAATAGTATAGATAATGATAGCACGAATGACTTCAATCTATCAGTAGTGACTCTATGTATATCGCAGTTATTCCTTTGCTATTCCTCACACAGCGACTCCGTTGAATCCAAAAAGGCTTTCTTTTATTAGAGTAAAATGGTAAAATAAACACACTTCAGGGATAAAAGGTGCACTAGGAAAATCATCGAGCTAATAAGCTGCACAAACCTATAAAGGTACATCCAACGATTTAGTCGATAATTAGCCATCGGCGTTTGGTCTATTACTGTAGTATAATCCACGCTTGTACTCGTAGAGAGACAAGCTGTTTTTACTGTAATCATCTATGCCAAAATTTACAAGGTCACTTTGAGGCACTACTTATTAATTTAATAAGTTTATTAACGTGTTTTCATCATACGCCACCTTATTTCCTCGCGCTTGACGGTGTTGGTAATGAATACCTATTTAAAAGTACCAGATTTTTGTGATCTGGGTAATATAATTAGACTAGTATAGTAGCAGCTGCCTAAAATGAAAAATCGATCTAAGTGCCTATGTTAAGTTTACTTTATTTAGTAAGCATAAACACAAAAACTGTGAGAGCTTCGTGAGACACAAAAGTTGTCATCGATTATTGTAAATTTCATCGTAGAACGAATCATCAAGGTCTTTTCATTTGGTGGAACTTTGTCCTTCGACTGTCCGTGTTTATGTGATGACGCTCGGCGCATCACGTTTAACAAATGCAGTCAGTTTTGAAATGTCTAGCGCTACCTGAATCAGGGGTTTCAGCATTTCCTGGGTTGGTGCTTTACATTTTTCAAGATCAGACTCATAAGCGTCTCCGTATAGACGAACAGTGGCCCCCGTACTGCCCGTGCCAGAGATGCGAAACACAACGCGCGACCCACACTCAAACAGTATACGTAAGCCCTGATTTTTAGCCACACTTCCATCGACTGGATCGGTGTACGAGAAGTTGTCAGCCAGTTTCACTTTGAAGGTTTTACCTAGTGCCGAAAGTTCGCTACCGACAAAGGCTGGGTTGTCGATGAGGGTCCTGTTCAGATGGTCGAACATTGCATTGACATCTTCGGAAGCACAGTTTTCGTAGTCGTAGCGGGTGAAAAAGTTGCGACCATACTTAGCCCAATGGGAATGTAGCAATGATTCAACACCTTGGCCCGTGTGTGCGATGACGGACAGCCAAGCCAGAGCAGCCCAGATTCCATCTTTTTCTCGTATGTGATCGCTGCCGGTACCAAATGACTCTTCTCCGCAGAGAGAAAGATGACCGGCGTCCATCAAATTTCCGAAATATTTCCAACCTGTTGGTACTTCGAAGCAGGGTTTGCCCTTCTCTTGGGCCACGCGATCAACGGCACCAGCAGTTGGCATTGATCGGGCAACACCTTTTATTCCACCACTGTTTTTGAAATACGGCACACACGTATCTACGTGATCGGCTAACAACGCTAGCGAATCCGAAGGTGACACGAAACACGCTTTCTTACCAAGGATCATGTTGCGGTCACCGTCACCGTCAAAAGCCGCCCCGAAATCGTAGGGCCCGCTGATCATAGCGTCGACGAGCTCTTTAGCATACACCAGATTGGGATCAGGATGTTTTCCTCCGAAGTCGACTAAAGGGACTGCGTTGACGACTGAATCTGCTGGTGCTCCTAGTTCGTCTACGAATATGCGTCGCGCATAAGGGCCTGTCACTCCGTTCAAGCAGTTGATCAAAATTTTAAAATCGCCTGTGAGGAGTTTTTTGATGGCGGGGAAATCGAAGATGGTTTTCATAAGTTCGACGTAGATCTCGACCGGGTCAATTACGTCTACGCTGAAGTCGCGACCATCAACATTAAAGTTGTATTGTGCAACCTTGCTAAGGTCCACGGTCAGGTTTTTCGCTATGCGATACTCTGTAATCCTTTTAGAAATCTCAAATATTTTTTCAGTAACTTTATCAGGAGCAGGGCCCCCGTTTGCTGTATTGAACTTGATTCCAAAGTCATTATCAATACCTCCAGGGTTGTGACTGGCCGTCAGTACGATGCCACCAAGCGTTTTCATTTTTCGGATGATTGTTGATACTGCGGGCGTCGAAAAGATACCATCCACTCCAATGATCACTTTTGACACCTCGTTGGCCGCGCACATCTTCACGATGATCTGCGCAGCCTCCTTTACAAATTCGCGCCCATCCCCTCCAACGACGAGGGTACTGCCTTTTAGCGAGTCTCCACACGAAGACAGAATTGATTGAACAAAGTTTTCGGTGTAGTGGTCCTTGTTGAAGACTTTTGTGGGCTTTCGAAGTCCGCTTGTGCCCGGCTTTTGATCACTAAACGCCGCGGTCTTAACTGCCTCTGATGTCGCTTGCGCCATTTTTCCGAAGATCGAAGGACTAGTTTTGTTGCCACTATAGCTACCCCTCTATGGTGAGTCTAACGATACGTAAACGTCCTGCCAGCGGAGAAAACGCCGGTACACTGTAAAAGACGAACGAGAGAGCCACTGTAAACGTTGTCTCACGAATAAGTTCCTTGTATCACATGCATTGCATGAAAAAACTTAGGCGCCCACGTCTGTACATGCTGTCAACGTAAACCGCACGTTTAAAACGATCTTATGAGTGCCACGCCGCTCACAAATATTCGTGCGCACTAAAGAAGGTTAGTATCATATGAACACCGAAAATATTCTTTAGTATTAGGTTTGTCAGTCGGAACTCGCGGCTGGTCTCTAGCCTCCTCGAATAATTGCGCCGAACTGTATATTATTCAGCAAATGTTTCGTGGCAGGAATGACTTTCTCCTCAAGTATTGGTGTTTGCTTTGTTTGACTTTAAAATTAGGCTAATATCTCGTTCTTGGAATATAAATCAACTCTACTACTACTTCGTGGCAAGCCTCTCAACATGTCAAAACTTTTCAGTTAGACCTATCGCACATACTCGGTATAATTAAAGAGATTTAGATTCTACAACAAGTTTACAATAAACCACCGACGGGCAGCGCTATGCTGGCAGTTGCTTTTTAACGAGCCAAGTCACAAACGATTTGTACAACACTCGTCACTGGCGTAGGAAAGTCGATAGTTATTTTCTATCGAGAGCAGTGCGAGATTACACGGCATTCGCTCTAGTTATTCGCCATTAGTGCTCTTTCTTGCAACGTGTGATAACCGAACTTGAATGACGCGCCGGTGACCCGTTAATTTTAGTGAAGGACACGATTCACGCGTGCGCCACTCTACGAACCGTTGCCTATCGTTAGTCTGCGGAATTTGTTTTTTTTTTTTTTTTGTTACTGTAGTCTCTAACTGTGTTGAGCCGCGTGGACGGGCGGGCGGGCGGTTAGATGTTGTCAATGCAGGCAAAATATCAACATGCCAATAAAATACTTTTTTGAATCGTAGTTATACCGAAAAGCATCGCATCAAGTGCAACCCATAAACGCCGCTTTCTAACGCCATGTACGTACCTAAATTTATATATCGACTGACCACTTGAGTAAAGGGAAAGGTCGTGTGGTAGTCATTGAGGGCATCCTGCTCGATGATAGTCTGTCCTCTGCTCTTTCGCTTAGACGTATATCCCTTTCCCAACTGCCTGCAAGGGGTCTTTCTTTGTTTTGAGGCCCCTTTCCATGCAGCTCACGGCTAACGTTTTTCTCCAGACGGCCAGTAAGCATTATCATGATGAATAGATTCATTCTGATACGTTGTTGATGCAACTTTACGAAAGCGTTTCATAATTCAATTAAAGTGCCGTTTACCCTTGATTCATTCATGCCGTTATTATTACAATTACTCGGCTGAGGTGAAATACTGGAAAATGATTCTATATACAAAAATAGAGTTGTTAATCTATGCGAGCGTATTTTTTGCCGCCGGAGATAACAACCATATCTGTTAGGTAGCGGTAATAGTAATAATCACCAAATGTCTGTAACGAATGGTAAAAATATGATATTCATGATGTACACTCAATGTCTAACACGAATATCTTTTATAGGATGATACAAACATCTGCCATTTATAACATATATGTCAATATCCATAAGTAAGGTATAGAAAAAGGAACAGGTCATAATGTATTGTCATTTATATTGCGTTTCAAATTTAAGTATTCGACCTATCTACATCTACTGCTAAGTGGATACCTACTTTTGTGTAATTCTTTTTTAAAAGATCACATCTGAGATGTGGGCACGGTACTTGACTCGGTCTATTTGCTGATTCCCATCTCTCAGCATATCGCGGTTCTTGTGACTGTGCAGAGTATGCATGCAGGTACTTCGACACAACGCATTTTTGAGCTCTGTATCCTCCGAATAGTACGCTGACATCAGCCTCGTACTTTAAGCTACTACCTTAAACTTAGGTTATGTTAAATTAGTTTCAGATTTAGCTAAGGTGACGTGGCGCATAGTTGAAGATGGATATTGGTGCAAATCAACCCGTTTCTGGGAAAGGAGTTTCTGCGAGACAACTGTCGGGGTATGATAATCCTCTAATAGTGATAGATTCACTAGAAGATCTTCCTGCATCAGAAGAAGTTGATACGGCTGGCCTCAATTGTTCAGTAGTCGCTCCCAACATCTTTGTCTCGGACCGCGCAACAGCTGAAAATGAAGGTGCACTCGTGCGTCTGGGAATAACTCATATTGTTACGGTAGATAGTCATAGACTTCGTGCAGAACTCTATACGGAGCCAAAAAGGTCAGTTATGATCGATGCTTTTTCCGCTAGTTACTTTATTGTATTTAATGGAACAACTGAGCTACCTTTTTAGGCTTTGTCTATACTACTTATCAAGTACACAACACATACGAAGATTATTTTAATTTTCTTTTACAAAATGTTATACTTCCCGCATGGATGTATTTCAGTATTTATTCATATAATACTGTAGAGCCACTAAACCACTGATTGGAGACTGCTTAATCGTCAAATTAGCAAAGAACTCGTGCATACAATGGCAAGCGGAATTCAGATAACTTCTTGTACCTACTATCCTCTTGCACTACATAATGCTGTGTTGTATCTTGAAGCTGTACCTTTACTTCAACAACTGAAGCCGAAATAGATCTTCTGTTATTTAGAACATAACATTAAATAAAGGAAAGGACTAGGTATGTGCATTTATGCTGCTCCTAACATTTAAAATTCAAATGGGATTGGCTGATAATCTGTTTTAGATTTCAATTTCACTTTATACGAGCGGATGATGTTGTAGAACAGGACCTCCTCACACATCTGCCAGAAATGTTCCAATTTTTGGACAACGCTGGAAGGATTCTCTTCCATTGTCATCAAGGTAAGTGATAAGAAAAAACATATATATATATATATATATATATATATCCATATATATTGCATCATGAGCAAACAGTCTGGCCCCTTTAACTGATACTAGTTCGCATGTGTTGATGAGATTTTTGAAAACATACCCGTCAAAGTACTTTACGAAGGTACTAATGCAAGCTATTAGTCCACGGAATCATAGCTCTATATAACTTCTGCGCTTCATGAATAATCATATGTTTCAAAATTAGGATGTTTTGAAATAAATGTCTTAGTCAGCAGGGATCTTCTTATTTCAGAGCTTTAGAGTCCCACCAAAAGTATTCGCCTTTAGTTACTGTATAAAGCGATATTATAAATAAGGGGTGCATGCCTTTCAACGAGGGAGATGATAAAAATTAGACAATGGAGCCTCTCTAGGAGTAACGGTAGACGGAGATTATGGTACATAGTTTCCTTGCAGCCATTGGAAATTCATCTGATATAAACACCAAATCCTAGTGGAACCGGCTTTGTTCTTTTGAAACAAAAACACTTATTGTACCAGATATGTACAACGCCGATAATACGAGTAGTTTTCCATGATAACGACTGATAATTGTAAATATCTTAGTGTCTCCCCGGAATTGTTAGTAGTCTTTAAAACAGTTTCTAAGTATATAAATGTTATGAACTTATTTTAACAAACGTTGCCACAAATCGGTACTTCTAAAAAGTAAGCAAATGTTTACGAAGTATCAAATCTTTGTTTTGTTCTCTAATAATCTCAACGAAATTTCTATAACTACAAATCCGATGTTGATTCAATGCTTAAGGTATCTCCCGAAGCGTAACCCTATGTATCGCCTATCTGATGCTCAAGACTATGAAAAGTTTAGAGGATATATCCAAACAAATATGCCAAGCACGTCCGCAAGCTTTTCCCAACAACGGTTTTTGGACCCAGCTTTTGCTGTTTGAACGAATGGGAAACAAAATCGATCGCCATGATCTGGGGTAAGTTTCTGGACTACGCTTTCAGCCAGCGTCAAGTGACGTCAAGCCATTAATAAATCACGATTTGGTCTGACTTAACTTTCAATAGTAATCAAGGAAAAATGGATGATCGCTAGTGCTTCTTTATTTCTCCCATTTTCAATCGAATCTTGTTTGTCAGCTCTCTTTGGCGAGTTTCGGCTTTTTTGTAAGGTGTATGATGGAATGGTAAGAGGCATTGGGTGGATAATAATAACGTCGCGTTCGTACAGATTTCATAAAAAAAGCAAAACATTAAGATAACTATCTCATTTTCGACATGCAGTAATCCTGACTTTGTTGATGTATTTCATCAATAATCAATCAACCAGCACATTTTTACGTATAACAGCGAAAATATTACATCGCTCCCAAGTAAAACAATTTTTGTTGATTTTATTTATAGAAGTTCTTTCGAGCGACATTGTAAGAATAGTCGTTACTTTTTTAATCCGTAATTATCATCCGCTAAAAATAAAAGGTCATTCAAATTAGTTGTTTAAACGATTTACCAGTTTAGTTTGAAAGCAGATACTAACGTAATAAATAAAAGATGTTCGCTTTGCTTAACCACATGTGCCCCATGACTGCTGAAAATAATCTTAGTAATAGTTATCTGTATTTTCCAGCTTTCAAATGTATGCTCTAAAGGAATGCCTCGGAAAACTGCTTGCTACGCGCTGCAGTCAATCGCTGACTTTAGCCGAGCGGGAAAACTTCTATCAGTAGGTAACTTCGAATGAATCGGAATTATGTGTAGTACTATTCATTTTTCGCATATCTTGGCCATGAAGTAAAAATCTAGTTACTGTTTTTTTCTCTTTTTCATTTTAGCCATTTGCTTTAGAAAAAACTACTTCATAGATTTTTAAAACCTCAGGGCTCCTGTCGAATGGCTAAAATATAACAAGAAAACAAGATGAATATCCGAATTATCAATTGAATACAGATTAAGGAAGACAGCTTTTCTACATTTCATTTAATACAAACGGTTACTTGGCTTGACCTCTAATTTCGCTGTTTTATTCCAACGTTAACAAACGTGTAAACCTGGAAGACGATGCGGGGCGATTGATAGTATCTGTTGATTTGACCAGATATCTGAACATAGTTCCACATTTGAACCGCTGATATGCTTCATCACCCCCGTTTTTTCGTTGCGACTGATTATTTTAGCTTCCTGTGGTATACCCATATTACCTACTCGGAGCTAAACAATATTCCAATTATTAATTCACTTATTAATAACAATTATTAATAACAATTATTAATTCGATTAATTTCGAGCACAAAGACTTGCAAGCAAAAATATAGTGATGAAAATATCGTTTTGTTTTAGGTTCCTTCCGGAGAGCGAATATAATATTCGCTGTAAAAAATGCGGTTACAGAATATCATCTACGAGCCGAGTCATTCCCCACCAACCGCTGGACAGAATTCGATGGTCTCGTGGCCTTATTTTCGATCGCGACGAAAAAAGAGTACCCGGTCTTATCGAAGCGCGCCAAAGTCAACGAGTGGCTCGTATGTTCTACCAAAAGCCCAGTTACTTTGCACAGATTAAAGCTAAAATGGTGAAAGAACACCGCGAAGTGATGTTGAGACCCAACGAACCTCACCCGGCTTCGACTGAACGCTGCAAAAGAACTATTTTTATAATTCCTGACGAACAAATTCTAAGTCAAGTTTATAAATCGCTTGGTGAGTAGTTGGTCCAGCACTATATAGGTACGGAAGTTAATCCTTTGTTTTTAATTGGATATGAGGCAATTAGCAGCCTCATAGCCTATGACTTTGGTCGGGTGTTAGCGTGTTTTTCTGTGTCTTATGAATACATTTGTTTTTTAACGGACAACATGGGAACCAATCGAAGCATTTTTGGTACCTACTTAATAATGCCCGTCGCATTAGCGGACAGATAAGTTCTCGACGCTAAAACCCTACGACAACGGATCGAATCCTGTTGTAGAGAAACACGTATTTCCAGCAGCATTTGTATAGCTGTCAGTTGGGGTATAACTCCTGTGAGTCAGTGCCTGACCCTACTAATAGCATATCTTCTGTCATACTATAGTATTTCATATACTTTTGCAAGACAGTTTCTTTAGTCTATGTGTGTGCGTATCTATCGCTTTTCTCAGCCTGTTTCTTCAGCGTGAGTCCATTCGTTTGTCACATTTTTGCAGAAAATACCCCTGGACATATCACGTGTGAATGTGGGATCCAACTGGGAAGATACAGTTGGAATCTTCCTGCGGAATGTGTGACGTGTAATTCCCAATGCGCATCTGGCTTTATGTTGTTTTATCATAAAATCTCACCACTTCCTGGACACGAAGAAGAGCTTGCCGCGCGTCTTATGTCTGGAACCAAATGACCGAGTACTTTTGAATTATGATCTCCCTGATGGACGCTCTTACCCCACCGTGAGCACAATACAGAATCGATTGGAGGGCAGGCTATATTCTGTAATATTTTTGTGCAGTGTCGTATAGAACGCAAAGAAAAAAAACCGTTTACTACTGTGCTACAGACAGCGCCTTATATTTATATTTTTATGGGACACGAATATGAACCTGTTTAATATTGAGATTTCATATTGATACTCATGTTGGGGTTCTAATCATAATGATTTCCGCTAGTTAAAATAATAAAATGAACATGTGAATTCCGTTGCTTTGCTTTAGTAATGTGTAAATACGACCGCTGGAAACAAGCAAAAGAAACTGAATTATGTGTAAACAGACAGGAAGTACCTATATATTTATGCCAATACGTTTAACAACTCTCGGTAAATAACTAATAGGATCGTACCCTAGGATTCTTTTGGGTAATTATTCCGATCCTTAATCTTATCTTCAATCATTGATAATAATGGCTATTAATAAATTTTGATAATTTAATGTCTATAAATAAACCGCGAGAACTCAATATTTGGGCAAAGATAGCCAATTGCTCAAAATATCGGTAACTTAAAACCGAAAATTTAAATCTTTCCACACAAGATGCACATGGATCACCATACGCTGTTACCGTAGATAAAACAGTGAGAGCAAGTTAGATATCACAGGAAACATGCTGAAGGTTTTCTTTTGTATGTGCTATTATCGTTTATGTTTTATGACATTGGCGGTTCTTCAAGCTATAGACTCTTGCGCATTTATGTCAATCCACGTTCATTTCCACAGCTTTCTCATTGTCGAAGTAGTCGAAGTGTCACAAACTTAAAATTCGTGGTATAATCCGTTGAAATTTCAATGTTATAAACATCCTTCCTCGTTTCTGTAATACCTCAACTATGAATAGAAGTGTCACTTGAGAAAGACCCCGCTCGGTCGTCAATTTCTGTATTTTCAATAACACCGAGTTATCTCTGGCACAGCATATGATATAGTGTAAACTATATATGTCCAACTTGATTTAACAAAATACGGATCAGCCAGGTAGCCTAAAATAAATCTAGCTGCTATGAAATGGTTGGTTGATTTATGATGACACTTATGTGAATCCTTCACGAGTACCAAAAGGTGACAGTACTTAACTTAGAGACAGTACCTTGGTTCTGAATTTAGACGAGATTCTGGGATCAAGCTCACCGCATGCAAAAACACTGCTCGGGTCAACAAGTGATCGTGTCTAAGAGGTTTTTCTCTATGATAAGTAGCCAACGAGTAAAATTAAATGTACTTGACTTTTAGTGCTATTTTAAGATACTGGGATAATATATTGAAAAGAGTGGAATAACGCATCCATAAAATGGGTTAGAATTAAAAACAAGCAGAAAAGCGTAAAGGTTAATACGCGTTAAATGTATTTGAATACAAATGTGGCTAATTTTATGTAGTCACTTCATAACACCAAACAACTAGAATGTATCTCAATGTAAACATATGTGAGAACTATTTTGTTTTCAACTAAACCTTCAAAATTGCTATATCTGTTAATTGCTGTTGTCACCATCAGTTTACCATAACGGATTATTACGGCCTAAATACAACTATTTTTTAAATAAACGGACTAATACAGAATAGTATTTCTCTAAAAAAATAACTATTTTCTCGTCGTATTATTTCAGACAGGATTAATTGTCCTAAGTGCCATAGATGTTTAGGCAGATACAATTGGAACGGTCTTTTCTGTGAGTGCGGCGGAGAGTATGACGCTGGCTTTATCTTGACCCGCTCGTCAATAGATCAACCAAGCGGGTGGTGATATGACAAGCTGCCATGCTGGCAAGATTGGACAGGTACATGTAAAGAACAAATTCGAGCAGGAAAACAAGCCAACGAATCAATCAATGATAATTCTCAAACTTCAACGGCGGCCACTGTCGTTACGTATAACGAGTTAGATGTTCCGAAAAGGTACAAGCCATGTATCGGCCTATCAGAATCGTGAAGCCTTTGTATTGGATATTTTATTATACATTCTTAATGTATATCTAATACGTTAAAACAAATGAAAATCAACAGATTATATATATATATTACCAAAACCACAGCGGAATAATAATCAGTGTGAAGTACACGAGCATAGAAACAACTGAGGCCATATATAGTTTTATTACTGTCTTCACCTGAAGGGTCTTGGTGCAGTTTACAAAAATTAGATTGTAAGATGCCTTAGTGCTTACCAGATAAGTTGACTGAAAAATTGTGGGCATTTTTCGTATTCCTGTGCACTGGACAGGTAATAAACAGTTATGTTGCCGGAACCAATGTAGCGAGCATTAATACTCCTAATATCTGCAGAAGAATCTTACGTAATGTATATAATTATATGCTAATTATTACAATTTCGGAATATTAACTTAATTGTGCTTTATTATCTCGTAGAATAAACGCTCTTAAGTAGTCTATAATAGGTTCTAAAGGTATATGCAACGCGGAGAATATTACTTATCTAAGAAATGCAAATGAAAAAAAAAACACTTTTTGGCCAACTATGCACTATGCCTGGAGTGACAAGGATGAATAAACTGCGAACTATATGCGAATAGGTGGCATTTGTAATTAAACATTGTTGTGATAAAATGAAGAAGACTTAAGGGTCAGATATCATTTCCTGCGAAAATATTAAAAATGTTCCCCAGACTTGCTTACCCATGTTTTATTCTAAATAGCATTTTAAGCTTACTTTATCTCCATAATACTATACTTGAGAGGTTGATAAGTATACGATATTCTTTGTCGAAAATAATTTATACAATTTATGATTTATCTATGCTCAAAATATTAGCAAGTTCTATCTTTTTCGCCATGTTACAGTACTAATTATCTTTCATAAAATTAAGCATGGCTCCTTCAATTGAATTCCGTTCCTAGCCCTAACTAAATTTAGCTTTCATAATATTTCCAACAGGCACAGGTTAAAATTTTCTACTAAGTCAAATAAAAAGACCTAATAAATAACCCTTGTAATAACAAACCTATAAGACTGTGACATTTTTAGTACTTGATTCTTGTTCCTTTAGGCTTATATGTGCACTTGATTTAGTTGGAAGGCATTTCTACTGCCATTTCCCACCACTTTTTGTCACGCCAAAAAGTCTCCACATATGATGCTTCGTTCGCGTTGTTCAATGTTGGCAAAGATGTCGGCAGTCTTGCTTACTCATATTTTATTTCAAAAAATCAAATAACATTTCAAACGAATTTTGTCTTCATTTGCGTTCTCTAATCCTTGATAGAAGTTAGGAAATACTTCCCACTTAAAGCAAACAATAGAGTTTTTGTTGGATTTATTAATGATTGTAACGAGAAGTTGGGATGAGCGTTTGAGAACGTTTACTCCTCAGAACCATTAACTGTGTATTGTGGATTCTCGAATTTATTTAGAGGAACCTATTGTTGAAGATCTCGATCCAGTAGCCGTCGGGATCCTTTATAAAAGCTAGGTTCTTCATTTTGCCGTCGTCTGGCCTTTTGATGAATTCTATCCCCAGTTCATCGAAGCGCTTACAAGCAGCCGCAACGTCTGGTACCATTATACCTATATGGCCGTATCCGCGGGGCTCCGAGTTACCTAGGGACGAACACAGCGGCGAATGTTTGTTTCGTTGCTTAAGTGGAATTTATGATAAAGCATTTACTTAATCCCATGGTAAAATGAGGTTGAAATAGAGTTTCAATCTCATTTATATTCCCCATTCAGTTTATTATAAACCCGAGGAATAGATAATTATTACTTCCCGTTACTTGTCGGCGTAATTTAGCGAAAATATTGAAAACGTCACTCTTGTACCTGTTGAACAAGTATAATCACGCTTTGCTACTGAAATTACCATTTCAAACATTTTAGTAGCAAAATTCTAACGATAGCGAACCTAGTGTGACTGACAAGGACTAAGAATAGAGAAGAACCATCCGAATAGAATTCTTTGAAAGTTCACTCAAGTTTGCTAAAACGGAGAGATTAAGACTGCAACTCTTATTGTCAGTGTATTAAAGTTGTGGCAGATAATGTAACTATTAAGAAGTCAACGTTATAAATTATTAAATAAATTTACAGTACCGTTGTGGTATCCTTTAAAGTTGGGGTCCCTTTCGGTGCCCCAGTTATGCGTCAGCTCCAGAGTCGCTTTTCGGCTAAAGGTCCACTCTCTCCGTTGCTTTGGATCTGATGGAACCTATTGAAAATAGCAAAAGCAACGAAACAGAGTAAAAGTATGCTAGGCTGGTATCGTCAATGTTACTCCATTGTCCCATTTATCCACTCATAAAATTCACTCACTATAAAATTCATTCAATATATCACAGACTCGCATCTAAAAGTTTTCCAGAATCAATTGACCATACGTGAATAGCTCCTGATTTAACGCGCAGTAGAGCTTATCAAGTACTACACTGTATTAAGTGAGTTCTATATTTGAACGTTAGCATATAGATGTGTACTTTATATGCATCATATTTCAATATCTATGCCTTCTAAATATTTTCTAAGAAACAGAGCAATATAGAGATATTTTGCTGCCCTTATTTACCTCAGCAGGATTCTCGTAGCCCATAAAGTAGAGAGAAAATTTCATTTCAGGAAAGTCTAGTTTCTGCAGGAGGGTCATGCCTGCAAGAAAAACAGTTCGTTGAACACTGTTATTGCACAGATGGTGACTCGACGATAATTGTAGTTATAAAAGGTATTCCAGTTCTATTTATGATTACTGCAAGTTGCTGTTGCTAAATTTCATTTGCCATCTTTTCATTGAAGCCACACAGATTTCTTTGCCTATTTCGTAACATTTCGTTTTTACCGCGAAGATGTAGTGATGCGTGTAAAATCAACAGAGCTAAATAATATAAGCATTTTTTTTCCAAGACGCTTTTCTAATGTATTCGTTCATGTTGGAAACAACAACATATTCATAAAATTTTGCACTAATTGGAGTTACTGAAGAATTGTCATTATTGCTTTAAATGAAATGAAATGAATAGTCACCAAGAACACGAGTATAGAAGTCAAGTGAAGCTCGAGGGTCTTTGATTCTGTACATGGTTTGCTGAAACAAGAAGTCTTTGGTGGCCTCCGTAGGAACGGCGCAGGCGGCCTGTGCATCAGCATCACTCAGATATGATTCCGAAGACATCTTTTCCAAAATTTGTGCCTTGGCTGGTATGCTTACACAGGTTCAGAGCTAGAATCTCACAGTACTTTTACGGCAACAGTAAAAACCATGGAAACAAAACTTCGGATTCGTGTTTACACAAACTGGCAAATCCCAATAAATGACTAGAAGCAGACTGTAGATGAAGACACGCGCTAGTTGACAACTCTCGCAATGGTGGCAACAACTCTACAAAGTCTTGCATATGCGAAAGTAGATGTCTCAGTTGTAAATTGGTAACGATTTTTTGGCTAGGTTCTTAGGTTGCGTTTGTTTTTCAGTTAGCATAGACGAGTATAAACTGTGGTCTCTCAAATTTTCATTCTGGTATATCCAAAAATTGGATTGGATTGAAATATATGTCAAAACCCTTATTATATTAGACACTCAGCTGAGAATATCTCTTACAATCAGAACATTTCCATCAGCTAGTTTTAAAAGGTGTGTATCCAATTAATGTTAAATAATTGCTCTAGTGTATCTAGAATCCTCATGTCATAAATTAGAATACGCGTTCGTCTGCTACGGCCAGACCCCTTTTGGCGATTTTGGTAACATACTATTAAGTCTAGTTTTATTACATCAAAGTTCAGCTTGTTTCCTTCACTAATCGTTGTGCAATACACACGGAAAGTTCGAATGTCCAAGTATGGCATATCTTGTGAACTGAACTCATAGGAATTAATTACGGAAACTGAAAGAATACTTAAAAGCCCAAAGTATTAATGTTAACTTATCTATACATAGAATAATATACAACGTCCTCATTACACAACTATAAATTAAGTCGAGCTAGTTTGTTTTTAATATTTAGTGCTTTGGAGCCGCATAACTAACTATCTTTCTATTACCAGCGGTGTGAAGTCGCCATATATTTGTATTGACTGCTCATGATAATTTGAAAATGTTAATTTTTTGTTTTCTTTTTGACACCTTATTAATAGTTAACATACTGATGAACATAGTTAAATATAGAAATCGGAATTAGTTAATCTTTTGTAGCGTGTGTTTCGAAGAGAGAATCAAGAGTTAGGTTACATTTTAGCACGAATGGCTCATATAGGAGATTATTTGTCATCCAATGGTCGACAGTTGTTTCTTTATAGACTAAGTGCACTAAGAGAAGAATTATTTGCATTTCTTGTTCGGTAAAGATGAGCGCTCGTTTTTACCATCTTAAACTTAGTCTAACACCATGCTTCGATGGCTGTCAAAACATTCAGCAGCTAGTGATTGTATCAATGAAGTAAGGTCATTTGATTGAAACATATGACAACATAATATAATAGGTTAATCGTCTGCGGTCTTTCGCTCCTAATTAGAGCATGTTGAATAGCTCAAACTGCTTGAATTTATTTGACTATGTTTCCAATAGAAAAAAATAATTTAAAAAACTCGTTATATTCAATTACGTATTTGTGCAAAAACCATAGGTGTTGTGTCTGATATGCAGTAAGACTAACACACAGAACCATGATAATCCTAAACCGATACCACGATAACCACGCTAATATCAAAAACCATCTACAGAGACCAAAACCAGAGGAACGTGTTGTTGGACTTCAATAGTTGTGCGTAGGACAAAATTAGTTGCATTTGTGCTCCTTCTAATAACTTGTTCTCTAGACGCGAGCAATCTCTATCGATTGTAGTTTTTAGGTTATTCACTGAAAATATAGATACGGGAAATGCAAAAATAGACTAAGTTTCATATTAGCTTCACAAGCAATGAATATTTTTATATCTCAATATAAATATTATAGCAATCTCCATTATTATCTAAATTAGTCATCCAGTATCTTGTCAAATATATCCACATCCCATGATAAAACCCTCATTTACAGCATTTTTGGCCAGTTAATTTATTAGAAGCCTTTATGAGTGAATCAATAGACGGCGCTTAATTAATTTTCCAAGTCTTAGCAGGAAGGATAATATATTATTCGTTTTGCGCTGGAAAATCGCAAATAAAAATTAGCGCAATTTTTTTATGACACTCTTAAGGTGCGTGTGGCAATGTGAATAACTAGTTGATGAGATTCGGGTTAGGTAAGCTCATGATTTCGTACACCGTATGTACATTTGCTTAAAGTTGGTGCGCAAATAAAACATGTTATTGTATCGTGCTTTAAAAGCTGCTTCTTTCCTTTACTTCTGATCTCGATGATTTTTACTAAACCCGCAATATTTACCACTATGGCGACCATTTTCGATCTAAACCTTCGTTTTTTCGGATCAATTTAAATCGAAAAGGACGAGTTATTACACAGTTGTTGCTTTTTGGGTCTACTCATATCAGAATTGATAGTCTGGTAGAAAAAGTTTCACAAGAATCGAACGGACCACCTTTGTGTGGCACTTTCCTTCCTGTTACCTTTCTCAGATGAGATGTCTGTGTTAAATCGACGACAGCCGCTCGCTTCAACGCCTCGCAATTATGGAGCTGGCAACGACCGCCAGATATTTTGGACGATAGCGACTCGCATCAGCATTTTAATGATATTTTTTACATCATTCTTAGTCGTCCTATTCTTCATCGCCCACGGAGCTTTGATGGAGGTATGTGCGCTACGAGTCGATTGCAAGGTGCAACAGGCAAAAGCCATGTTCCAATTATATGCTCCACTTCAGTCTTATCTCTTATGCTGTAATCGCGCAGCAAATGGTATATAAGGTAATTGACTATGAATATTAAGCATCCTTCTCGAGCGCCATGTTCTCAGGCAAAACAGCTGCGAATGATGTAGTGTTACTCGATGGGGTGGCAGGGGCAAGTTTACTCAATACGTGTACACAACGTGTTATAGTTGTTCGTTATAGATCCGCTTAAAATAATTATTGTCCGCAACCTAGTATTCGTGTTGCTCAAGTGACAGTGTAGGAAACGCTGAACAATCGACGACAAAACTAAGATTTGAAGACTCTCTGATCTGAAGACTAATTTATAATAACAAATGTGGTCTCAATGCAGGTTGTGGAGTCTAGCCGGCAAAAACGCTACAACCGTCCCATGGGTGTTGCAAATAGAATTCCTAGCTAATGTAGAAAGCCTGTTAGAAGTTGCAACATATTGTCAATTATCACTTAATCAGCAGCCAGCCTAACGGTTCGTAAACGGCAGCCGTCCCGCAAACGAAGCTCTCCGGTAGAGGAAACAAACAAGGCCTCCGGTATTTCCTGGCTGCCTGAAATACGTATACACTACATATGCGGCGGTATATTCTAAATTACACCAAAGTGTAACCATTTGCGTGTCACGAGTTAATGGAGCGTCAACATAAGTCTTCGACAAGAGTGTTGGCAGCGTTCTTATAAGGAGTGGTGTCATGGGTACGCTCTAACTAATGATCTTTCATTATTTTTGAAAAATAAAATTTAACCTGATTTGGTCTGAAAATGTGTCGGATTTTATATACTGATTATATATAACTTGGAATAGAAAGCCATCAGAACTAATGTTACCTCTCCAACACTATCATCAAGCAGAGCCTAAGAAGATATTACACTTAACTGTATCATAGCAACCCACAGCGAGTGTAGCTAAACAAAAGTTTCCTTTATATAATTTTCTGTCTAGCTATCTTAAGCTTTCAAATTTATTGACAACTTATCCATCCATAAAAAATTATGGGTATTGCTTGGTAAGCAAATCGGATATATATACAATCTCAGATAGAGCACATTACGAGAGAGATAGTATCTAGGAGATAATATATTTAGCGATCGGGGGCAGAATCCTCAACAGCGGCGCTTTGCCATGTTTGGCTAAATATCGGGAGGATCGTGAGAGACTAGAAGCTTCTGGTATCGCAACATATGAAAGTCATGGAATCAACTGCATTATCAACGAGAGTTGAAATAAGTTACTTTTTTATTGGGGTTACGGTAAAGACAGAGACCTATGTCTTTGAAGTTGAATTCAATGCACACCATGTGCACTTGTACTGAAGAAAATGTACTACTGCCAATAAAAAAAAACTGGGAAAGACTTGCATAAAAATATTGCTTACTGCAATTTCCCTGTTTTTTTTTTATTTTATATACCATTCGGAATCATGTGCGTTCCTTCAGACCCGGATGTATTTTCTAGCTGATGTATTGAAGCTTCTTTTTTTAATAGCTATGTGCGTATTCGGTGGTCTAGCTAGCTAGCGTTCTTGCCACAGCTGTCGAGTTTCTCCGGCTTCGAAATGGGATCTTGTTTCCTACTATAACCACTACTTCAAATGTGCATGCGTCGAAGGAACCGAAGTACCGGAATATTATGTGTAGGGAACCTCTTATATATAACTAACCTTTAAATAAATAATTCTCATAAGCGATAACGCGCATGTGTTTCGCAACGTGTACACACATCATCACCTTCTACGAATAAAGGCATTTATCATTCTGGGCCTATGCGTCGCTGCCGGAGTCATTCTATCATTTGCCCTACATTTTTTTTCACATAGGCTGTAACATATCATAGATATATTACAGGAGCTACATGAAGGTTCGAAGTCATCAAAATTTTTTTATAAAAACGACTGTTCGAATGCTCAGAATTTGCGCTGGCATTACGCATTGTACGATACGATATGGTTGACATTCGATATATGACAGGCACGCCTATATAAACATTTCTCTTAATGCACCAGATATTATTCGTAACCACTTGTGAGAAAATAGATAATTGCCATTTACTTTCTGATGTACATCGTTGCATGTTTGCTGAATTTATGGATCGCTGCACACGGAATGACTCAACATCTTCAATTAAATCTTAGATTAGATCTGCGTAACCTGAAATAGAACACACGTGGTGTTCTCATACCATCCTTCACTACCTCCGAACAGAAGGTAATCGAATGTTTCCCAAAGCTAATGATGAAACATACGTATGAAGTATTATAATTCATAGATATCAAATCAGTATATAGAAGAACATTGGAAGCATATATATGCTTCCAATATTCTTCAATTCCAATGTTCAGCATAAAAGAAACAGACCTATATACGCTTCGCACTTCGAAGCGCACATAGGTACGTTTCTTTTAATAAGGCTTTTCCTGTTTTTATGAAAACTCATTGCAAGCTTGTCGATTATACCATGCTTCGTATAATCTTAAGCAAATTTAAAAATAGCAGAAGAAATACGTGTAATGGCTTAAATCAAGTAAGTTAGTACACACCCTCATCTAGAAAATTCTAGTCTTTGAAACTTTCCTTAAATGAATTAAGAAAACGTACCGAAGTGACAATTTTGCACACGTTGCAGCTCTACGGCAACCCACTCTCTATGTTCTAAGTTTTACGTCCGATATCGCCGTTAGGCATTCCATAAGACGGATGGCTTGCAGCACGAAACGAAGAACGTCTATGCCCGGGTGCGAACCTACACCATAACGCATCCTTAGGATTACCCAGTAAGCTATCACGGAAACCCACTAAAGAGGCTATGCCGAATTATTCGTCAACATTCTAGATGATAGGCGTGCTTAAAATAACATTATCTATAATCTGAGTTATTTAGCTCATGAATAAAATAGCTAACCCATTGTTGAGCAAAATCGTCATAGACTAAGATTGGGCTGATTTTTTACTGCCCGTTTCTTTGTTTCAGGACCTACTTTTCTATCTGACCCACTTTTTTATTCAACCCATATGTTTATGCTAAAATTTTGTAGATCTCACAAGAAATGGAGAATAATAGTCATAGTAGACATCGTCGCCGGTAGGATAATTGTCAGAAACTTACTAGCTGAAATGATTAATGTTTCATTATGAAGGTTATCGAAAATTATAAGAATATGAGGATAACATTAATAAAGCAACATTAATTTAATTCAATTTATTCAATCCGTCCTTTTCCCACACTAAGTTATTTACATTTTTCAGGTTTATTCATTTATGTATTGTTGTTGGTTAAAACATCATTTCGTCCGTCGAAATCATTCGTACTCGCTATCTCGTTTTTTTGTTATTATATCACTGCTTCAATATGTCCTTTTTGCACTGTTAACCGATTTAGAAGGGACACGCGAACACTTAAGGCTTCGTTCCGATGAACCAGAGTGGCAGTGTAAATTTTATGCCTTTTGTTTGCCTCTAATAGTAAAATGTTTGCAGAATTTATCAGAATGTTTGCAAAATCGCTAGCTAATCGCTATCTAACTCGTTATATTATAGCACAGTATAGTAAAAATAGTAATCATTATATGAATTATAACACCGGGGGCAATGAGTATGATTGCGACAGACTTCTACCAAGCGTAACCCGTCATTTTTTCCTTGTTGCTGCAGAAATAACAAGCACCTAACACTCATTAGTGCGTACCATGATCTAGCCTGTCAAAACCTGGTATTTCATGTGTAGCGAGAAAAAAATCTTCAGCTCACCTGTCTATTCTATCAACATGCACAAATGACACTGCATTTGTTTTCCTGTAATCATACTATCTCACTAGCCGGCCTTCATTTCATGACGCAATGGTTCGCTGGCTTTCCATTTATGTGTTTTCAAATCGGATGTTACTCCCATTTCTCCTATTCAACAAACATACCTGTACCATCTCAGACCGAGAGAGCCTAAATACTTACGACAATTCCGTTAGGTCACTTGCCATTCAAATACACCGCGTTCGTATGACGATAATCACATCGATTGCTTAGACTTCTAATTAAATTAAACTCACTCAATATTACATTTATGCTTATTATATTATCATTAAGTATCAGAAGGATTTTACAGCTAATAATTTGACTCTTTGGTCTTCGGGGATAGAATAATGATTTAAGGTTGATACATTTGTTTGCTGCGAGATGGTGTCTGCCGTTCTGAAATCTGTAGTTTCTGTGACAGGCCTGCGTGCCGTTAAAGGGGAAGACAAAGCCGATTGCTTTTCCTTTTAGCTTAGAAGTTGATGGCCTTGCCAGCATATGCAGCGAGATTGGCTTCTCGGAAGGCCTCTGAAACCGTTGGGTGAGCATGGCAAACGCGAGCTATATCTTCGCACGACGCTCCGTACTCGAGGCCTAGTGCAGCTTCATTGATGATCTCCCCAGCACCCTGAAAAATCAAATATAATTAGACCGAAAGATTTGAGTATATACAACCAAATATCCGAACTTACTGTTTTGAAAAACATTGTAGAAATAGCAATGCACTTAGGAACAATATACAATTGAAGAAAAGCTGTAGTAAGAAAACTTATTATTTATA